GAGCCAAATCTGCGATTGGTTCTAAACATCGTTGCAGAGTAAGAAGGCGAGGACTGCTCCAGGAAAGACTGAGCGACTACGAAAGATGCCCACCAGCGAGCGCTCTCAATGAGCGACTTCTTCTTTGCAGTCTCGGCATCTTCGGCAATGGTTCGGACTCTTCGTCGTAGTCGGAAGAACAAGAGGAGGAAGTTCGTCTACGCGACATGAAAGGACTCACTAATCTATTAAGACCTAAATATTAACACCACAGCAGTTCCACAGCCAAGTATTCCGGTCAAGAAACCGAGGGAGAATGAATCATAAACCAAAAACAGGCTTTATTCCGCAAACCACAAAAAAATCACAACGCTACTTAGCGCCTTTATAATCAAAAACCGTTTGAGAAGGGAGTGCTCCGTGAACGCCGGTGAGGAGTTTCCTCCTGCTCAGAGCTAGCGGAAATGAAATGAAAGGGGAGTTATCGGTAGAGTAGTGGATCTTGGCGATCTTTGGGAAGATTTCCTGGACTGCATCTTCACTTCTGAAGAGAAGGGATTCCGTTTGCGAACAACTTGCAGACAACAACAACAACTCAAAGATGCATACTGTGACAATGGTCTGCTCAGAAATAATTGCTCGACGTGAGGGAAATGCGATCCCTTCATCTCTTGCGCATTCAAAAACAACCACCTAAATAAACAGTAGCCGATAATGCGGTAGTAGTAAGGCGATGGTCGTAAACCTTGAAAAAGGCACCTGTTCTCTCTGAGATCCAAATAAGTGACAGCTGGAAGCTTGGCTTTCAAAGCTAGCCAAGGATGGGCCAAAAGGTTGTTGCGAAGGCAAACATATTTGATGCAAGAATTGTCCGCGTGAATGTTTTCGATGTCCTGGTCAGTCAGCTGGCAACCCTCAAGATGCAAGGTCTGCAAAGTCGACTATTCGAGACGAAATAAATCATCTGTCCGATTCCCATCTACCTCAAAATGTGGGTAGCTCCAGAGATTCCGAAGAGCCTCGAGGGCAGCCGTCCTATCGCTCCTCACACGTAAATCGACCAGTGGACCCGACATAGCGAAGATGACAGACAATTTGATCTTCTATCCCTACTACTGAATGAAAAAACTTGTGAGCATTTACTACATATCCATCCCTTCCTCATTCAAATGATCATGGAACAAAGTACTCATTTCTATATGCTAATACTTCTGTCCAACCTCAGTTCTTCAAAACCACTTTCTTTCAGCTTCATGTAATCAAAATCCCTACTTCCAAAAGAACTAGACCCACTCAACTGTAATCCTCATCTCGTACCATCTCCTCTCTCCACTCTAAACACACAAGGACTGATCAACCGTCACAGAGCACTTGACAACCGCGAAGCCTCTCTTCTCTTTCCTTTTTTCTTCCTCCTTACCCTAGCGAAAATCGAGGTAGTACCAATCGGGCGGTAATTCTCACAGCGATTGTAGGGGCTTTTTTGGGAACCGGTGTGACTAAAGAGTGCTTCCAACGATCTGGTACCTCTGCCCTCAAATAAGACAAATTGAAGAGATGCTCAAGGGGATAGAGTAGATGGTTCAGTACCATTTTGATGAACTTAAAAGGGATGAAGTCAGGGGTAATAGAAGGAGAGGTGGGCCAAGCAGAAAGAACTTCATATATCTCCTCCCCATGAAACCAAACAATCGTGAACTGATATAATTATAAAATTTGGATGGAACCTTTGAAGCGATTATTTTATTCTCAACGCTTGCATAGTATTTCGCAAGGGCCTTATCCAAGCTTTCGAGTAAACTGTTTGTAAGAAGTCCAGTAAGATTCTGTGTTTTCTTTGACCGCTAAATCCCAGAGATCACCGCAACGAGTAATCATACGATCTAAATACCCGGGAAGGGATCTGTACCCCGCTTGACACTACAAAGTGGGACAAAAGTGTTGATGACATCATTCAAAATAGACAGGAATAACTCGTACTTATCATTAACTGAGCAAACGCTACCAAAGGAACCAATCCAGTCGACGCCTCCGAGGTAATCTCCGACAGCCCGCCAATCCAACTCGGGAGAAGTCCCTAACCATGCAACTTGTGGGTCAGGTTTATAAATGTTAAGTAGAAACTGAACAGTGGCATGGTCACTGGTACCAATGGGTGGCAGAACATTGACTCCTGAGACTAGGAAGTGGCGATTGCAGAAGACCAAGTCAAGGATGGAGCTGCCTCGGGTTGGGGTATGTACTAGCTGGGCAAACTCATGAGAGTACAGCGTCTGGACAAACTCCTTAGAAACAGAGTTACCTGCATCACTTTGATACTTGCTGGCATCAGCCATGTTAAAGTCACCTAGTATGAGAGTCACTTATAGCTTTAAGAATTGGTCTTGAGGGCCTTGCAAAATGAAGTCCTGTAGATTAACACGAATCTGATTGTGGAGAGGTTGATATGCATCAATAACAATAATCTCATAAGCTTCGGGTACTGATTCACTGAAGACAATATTGTGAGGTATAGCGTTTCTAATGAGAATCAGGACACCCCCTCCTTTTCTTCTGGCACGATCGCATCTGAGATGAGTGTACTGGGAGTTAGCAACACCTAGCAGACTACACACTTCAATGTTAGGAGTTAACCAAGATTCCGAAAGAAAAACCAAATCATAGCTCTCACGTATTAACAGTGAAATGACAGCGTCACTATTTTTAACAAAAGACCTAACATTTGACAACATACACTTGATCCTGAATTTCCCTCGAGAACAATTACCAGAAAAATTTGTGCATGGGCCAGGCGTCAAAGTGCCCTGGGAGAACCTAGGACAACTCAGAGGTTTACCGCCTGGTTGGGGAGGATTTGTGGGCTACCTGAGTGATCAACATTATGCACAGTAGAAGCTTCATCCTGAGAGTGATTTCGACGAGTAAGCCACTCTTCTCGCCTGCGTCTTCTCTCATCCAGTGTGAGAGAAGGGCGTATAAAAACGCCTTGATGGGAGAAGAAACGTAAGCGAGGAGCGCGTCTTATTACTTCTTTTTGGAATCCACTACTGGGTAGAACTACCTTCAAGAGTCTTGGTCTACGAGGGTCTTTTCTACCCATACGGTACACGGACACGGGAAGACAAGCAACATCGAGAAAGTCAAGCAAACGTGTGCGTGCAATATAAGGTCATGGTTTACAGCTTCCAGTGATCTAGAAGAACTACTCTCAGGGACACCGGATATAACAATGGAACGCTTGAAATCAGGATCACTTACATCATCAGTAGCTGAACTGACAGAATGAACAACAGCTTCACTATGAGAAATTTTGAACACCAGTATGAGAATAAGCTGACTTAGCGGAAACTAACTCATCAATTTTAGACTTTAAAACCAAATTTTCCTCCCTCAATCTTCTATTCTCGTCCTCGTATGAATCGCATTTCCGGCTGACATTAGCTAATTCACGGCGAGTATCGATCAAGAGGTCGATTATCAACTGCATGTAGGCGGAATATCGCGACTTGACTGGATAAGTTGTAGCTTGTCCATGACACTGGTAGTGGCTTGCGGTGCGCCAATACGAGGAACACTGACACAGAAGAAGACCGAGAGGGAGAAACCATACTGTCGAGGTGGTTGACAAAGACCCGCTCAGTAGACCGCTGGTGATGATCTATCGATAATCAGTGGCGCAAAAAGACAAAAATCACCCGATAAGGTGGCGAAATTCAAAATAGGCGATACCAGTAAATAGAAACCGCAGACGAGGTAAAAGGTGTGCAGGTAGGATGAATATAATATGTACGAATAGAGCGGATTGTAGAGCCGCCGCTCACGGTCAGCGCACTAGTGACTTCTGACCTACCGTAAATCGGAAGTAAGTGAAGCAGTGAAAGTGCAAAATGCCCTCCCCCCTTCACTCCCATCCCCTCCCCGCCGCCTAACTGCTCCCGAATCCCACTTCCTGCCTCAGGCCTACGCTCCTAACGATGCTAATTACAAATCACGACGCGACTGTGCGGCGCGGTCCCGTCACGGTGTCAGCGGAGCGCGCCAGGCTGATGGTGACTGAGGAGAGAAAATACCAATTACGCTAAACATTCGTGAGTGACTTGCTAGAGAATCTGGGCTACTGAGAAAACCTAATGTGAAAACATTCGGAACAACG